ATGCTTGTACGGGCAGTTCACTCACATGATAGATACCATACTTATGGCCAAAACATCCTTCCCCGTATGCTATATTGACACGTCTTCGTGGCTACACTTGTATGTTCCCGATTCTAGCATAGCATATCCTAAACGCGGTCGAAGTCCCACATATTGGTTCCCCTCAGGAAATTTCGCGTTATCTTATTGTGCGATCAAATGAAAATTATCTTGTGGGAATGCGGAAAATAACTTTGAATAACATCTACAAACAATATCGACCAGGATGTTTTCTTTGTCCGTCCAGAATGTCCAAATATGTGTTGAGCATACCGAAGTCTATCAGCTCGGAAGGTAAGGCGGCTGAGATTTCTTCGATTTACCAAGCGCCAACATATCATATTGGAGGACAGTAATTGGCGAATGGCTTTTACTAAATCCCCCGCTAACTTTATGCTTGGACTTAATTCTCACCGCTCCTTGAAAGTGGCAGTAAATATACCGCTTATTTAAGAATCACAATCTGCATGCTTAAGACCTGCTCTGTCTTCAATGTGGTAAACGATAAATGCCTGTCCACACACAATCCCGGCGCGATACGCCATCCGGCGTTTCTATGCCCGTTTTCAATTGTCCCGGTATAACATCTGTTATTTTGGTCCCAAGATAAACCGTTCGCGTGGTATATTTTAGAGCACTCGACCCGAAAACAAACTGCCTACGCCAACCACACTCATACCCTAGGCTTTTTGTTTCAGCTGAGAGTTCTTACATCTAAATGCCCTGTCGTAGAGCCTTTACCTTCAGAAGTGTTCACGGTCTTCGCCTGAGACCCCGCATATATCCTCACAATTTTATCACTGTTCACACAATATGCACGTTCTACCACTTTGTATAACGGCTTCTTTGTGTATGACAAATAAGCTAGACTCACCTGTTGTACAGTGATTATTGCGGCGCCTACTTGTAAGAATTCTGAATCATTGGCGATTATCTATATCAGTGAGTGCCGAGTCTTCTCTGCTGACTGTCACTAGCAAAATTCGGATAAATATGAAATTACTTGTCTATCATTAAAACGCATCGTTTATTCATCGACATCTTCCTCCTTGTCCGAAATCCATCACACTGGACTTAACTGACCATGTACTCGTAAACCTGCTGAGAAGTTCGAACACAAACGTTCCACGGCGACTTGCGGTTTTCCAATCTGCTATTCTCTCCCGTAAGCCAGCAACTTGAACAGAAATGGCACCAAACTAGTGGAACACTTCCGTATACCTACCATAAGGTATGGCAAGAGACGAACCTATTTGGAACCCAGAATAATTACTCATCTATCGTTGATTTAAGCAAATAAATTTGGTGCGACAGGCCGCACCACAATTCAGTCCGGCTAAACAAACAGCAAAGTCCAGAGAAATCTTCCGTCAACTCAACGTTCTGGTCGAATGAGCGAAGTACGCTCACTTACAAACCAGCTTCGTTTTGTCGAGAAACTGATCCCCAGGAACTAAGCTGAATGGCTCCTTTATAATATCTGTAAACAAGGAAAGTAAAATCCCCAATAATTTTACTAAACCGCTAAGCATATGCTGAGCCTAATAGCATGCCTGTGCTCGAAGCGAATGAATAACTCTTTGTAAATCGTCGCTTATATATATGTATACTTCCTTACCGTGGCCACCTGGAGAAGACTACACTCAATGTCGACCGGGCTTTGATCAAATGTGGCACCAGGAATTCCACTCTAGGGATTAACTTTTTGCGGAATTTTGCCAGTCAGCAATCATGGAATCCGGCAGAACTAGGTACATCACACTGAACGGAAAGTATAAGTGTTTTGTATGAGCATAACTAGCGGCTGACGACATTGGAGAAATTATGCAGGCAAACGACCATCTTCCTGCTCTTTACCATTCAGGCTTTAAATTTCAATGACTTCTGAAGCCAAGCACAGAATTTAGTTTAGAGATCTTGCTTGATGTCAAAACCAGAGAGTTTAGGGAGTCAGATCTACCTACAATGTGTTCCAAACGCGCAACAAAGTAAGATAATTCGAACGTGGCCGGACGTTTACAGAGAAGTTAGGTGATGAAGGGGATAAACGACGAAATCTTCACGAAATTGCTACAAAGTGTGGTGCTTGCTTGGGGTGTTGGCCATGTGTCAGCGTCTTGTTGATTTCCCCCTTTGATTGACGGGAGACCAATTCAAGTGCCTTATTTTCATATGTGGTCTTCAGTCGCATTCAGACAGTGATATCAGGGCAAGACTATTGAGCAAGATTGAACAAACTCCCGAGATAACTCTGCAGTCTATTACCCATGAGTGCCAGCGACTTTTGCATCTTAAGCACAACACGGCCATGTTGGAGAAGCCCTACTCCCGAGATTGCAGTCTATCACCCATGAGTGCCAGCGACTTTTGCATCTTAAGCACAACACGGCCATGTTGGAGAAGCCCTAATCCAACCCAACCTTTAACATTGCCAAGACGACATGGAAGCAACCTCCTGTGGTGACAGAGTCGAATGGGGCAGAGCCTCCGTCAGCATGCTGGTAATGCGGCGAACGGCATTTTGTGCAATTGTGTTCGTACAAAAAGTACAAATGCTCAGTGTGCAGTCGACGTGGACAGAAGGAAAGCCAGTGCCTGACGCGGAACACTAGCCAAAGACACAGTCAATCCTGGAGGTCACGAAGCGAACGGAGCCAATCAGAACCGGAAGTCCGTGTTGCGGTGTTGGAGACCATGAACCAACTACCCGTGACTGTTGACGCTGTCCGAGATGCCACCAAAAATGACAGCATATTACAAAAGGCAATGGAGTACCATCAATCAAGCTGGCGAAAAACCAGTCCACCAGCGGATCTCCGGAAACTTTTTCAGCGACGGAGTTCATTATCTGTCGTCACGGACTGGCTTATCATTGGTGACTGCATTGTCATTCCCACCGAACTTCGTCGACGCATCCTACCACAGTTCCACAGTGGGCATCCGGGGATAGGCCGCATGAAGGCTCTTGCTCGCACCTATGTCTACTGACCCGATATGGATGACCACATTGAGCAGTTATGTCGGAGTTGTTTCCGTTGCCCATCTGCCCAGAAGTT